TTCAGTCATTAACAATTAATATATGTTTTTATAAACACGATTAGATCACGCTTGCGTAGTCCTTGCATCGCGGGTAAATGAATATAACGCCAGGGAGGATATTGAATTCTAATTCGGTAACTAGTTCAGTCATTAACAATTAATATACGGAGATTTGTCCAAATAAAATCCCTGGGAAGCTGTGATTCTCTCGTGAAATAGCTTTACTACGATGTAATGTCAACGAAAGTTATGCCTTCCCCAAAGGCGCGGGTCGACGGAACGAAGTAACATATACCCTTGGTGGCCGAAATTCCAATTTCACCCGCGGCTCCCGGCGTCATGATTTCGAAGGAATGATCTTCATGACTCCGGTAACACTCGGAATCCCGCGGTAGGCACGACGCGGCCGGCTCGGGGGTGGCCTCTCGGGCGCAATGCGCCATCTGGCAACTACCCAGTATTGTATCCACCCACCCCCCCACCCTCCCACCCCATCGGTCCGTCTCTCTCTCCCTCTCTCTCCCCTTCCCCGGACCCCGCCGCCGCCGCCTTCGTCATTTTTCGCATACCGCTCTTCCCTCTTTCTCACACCCCCGCCCCGACCCTCCGCGGACCCTCCGGACTTCCCTCGTTGTTTTGTTTGCATTTTAATCGAGCCTCGCTCGTGGCCTCGCCAACATTTTCGGCGCGCGCAACCCCCGCCGAATCATTTCGGATATATATCCGATTCCGGGTGCAACTCTTTCCGCCAAGAGAGGGTGCGTTTCTGCGTCGCGTTTCGTTTTTTTTCCGTGCACGTCGTTGTTCCGATTTCGGGAATAAATACGGGAGGAAATCATGTATTTCATATTGGCCTCCTTCATTTGAGCGTGGAAAATTTTTTTCTATAAACGATCAAAGTTTTGAATTTTCTTCGATCAATGTTATTCAATTTTACGCCCGTTCTTTAATCCTTCTTTGTTTAACCTTACGATATCTTGACTCGAAATTTGTTGAAATGCGAGGAGGGGAAGTTGTTGAAAAACGGGGGAGAAAAGAATTACTCACTTTAAGGAGCGAGGACACGGGGTGGTTTTTGCATGGTTGGTGATTGATTTGTAAACCTCTTGTCGTGCATTTTAGTTAACATAAACCAGTTTTTTTTTTTTTATAATGATATTGGGCCGTGACGAATAAATACCACATTTTCAACAATTATTAATCATTTATCCTCCTGCGTTATGATGATAACAAACGATTGGTTTCGTATGATATATTTTAAGGATTTGAGAAATTTGAAAATAAACTGTAACTTGAAATTATTGTAATTACTACAGTCTTAATCGTCCAACACACGTGGCGGCCACGAATCATATTTTTTTACAATGGGATCTTTATTCATTTTTAGGTTTCTCCCTTCCGCGACGAAATGCTACAATATATTCTATACTTGCACGGTAAGAACTTCCGGGAAAGTTTAATGAGAGAAGATATCTCTGTGTAACCTCCTTTGGACATCTCCACCCTTACATACCACCTCCTTAAAATTATTGTAATTACTACAGTCTTAATCGTCCAACACACGTGGTGGCCGCGAATCATATTTTTTTACAATGGGATCTTTATTCATCTTGTTGTTTCTCCCTTTTGCGACAAAATGATACAATATATTCTATACTTGCACGGTGAGAACTTCCGGGAAAGTTTAATGAGAGAAGATATCTCTGTGTAACCTCCTTTGGACATCTCCACCCTTATATACCACCTCCACTTCTATAAGGCGGAGATTTTCGGCTAACTAACTTCCTTTGGATTGTCGCGAACGGATGTCCGATTCCGGAAGTAAGAACTTTCCCGACAAGGGAGAACAATGTTCGAACGCCAAATTTCATTTGTTTCTACGTACTATTATTCTGGTATTGCGAATAAATGTGGGCAAAATTCAATATTTCGTTTCGGTCTCGTTAATTTGAATGTAATTCTTTCCCGCAAGCAAATTATTTCGGTCGGTCGAAATTAAACTCGACGTCGCGAGCATATTATTTTCGAAAACTTGATCCATCCCATACAGAATAAGGGTAATTTGACGAGTAAAATCAAACGACGAATTTTAGCTTTCACTTCTCGATTCCGTCAATCATTTTCACGTAACAATGGCTCCGCTGCTTTCAATGTTCTGCTACAATAGCTTGCTTTTGTTTCCTCCGACCAAACTTTTACCGATTCACTGTCGACACTTCTAAAGTTACAAGGAATATTCGATGAAACCTTTTCATGGTGTGCCTTGTATCCTTCGATATCAGATATCATTTTCATGAGGGTATAAATTTAATTAAATTGGCTCTCTCTCTCGTAATATCGATCCGTTCTCACAATTGTGCCGTCGAGTTGGGCATTCAAAACCTTGCAGAGTGAAATGACATGTGTGTGAACATATTGGTCGGTTATCATGATACGAGACACCCTGTAAATTATGCCGTTCGTGTATTACGGTGTACGCAGTGCATGGTTCTATTAATTTCAACTAACGTCGTGCGCTTGATACCATTAACGAGATAACAAGACCATTCGGTGTGCGGTAGAAATTCGAAATTAAACTTCAAAGCATTATGAACCATTAGCAAAATGATTCTTTAAATTGCACACATCGTTCCCAGCAATACTACACGACAGATTTACTATCACATTTGCAAACAATTCGAGTGTAATGCATCTAAATAAAGTTCCCATTACTTCTTCCAAATTACTTTCCATCAATCGTGGCAGTTTTGTGGATATTAGTGCACAGCATGACAATAAAATCGACACGACAATGATGTATTGGATCAGACTGAAAGAGCGTCATCAGCGAAATAGCAATAGTCAGTAAGCGTCGATTTGCGATCTCTATCATTTCTATTAATTTTATCTCATCTTAACGCGTCATAGAGTATTCACCTGAATTCCGAGAATTGCCTTCTATCAATCTTTGTCATGAAAATCATGGGGGGGGGGAATTCCCATCGCGTATGTATACGAGAAGAAAGAACGACTGGTACGTGCCAATCTGAAAGGGGAAGATGCCCCAGGAATGGTACCCGAGAGAATTCGATTATTAATAGGCAAACAAGAGAAGAAAAAAAAGAAAGAAAAGTGAGAAATGCGAAGCTGGTTTGGACGTGACGTGGAAATCGATAGGGGTTGATGCGGCGCCATTGAAAACGAACCCTATACATGACCAAGAGAGATCTCTGATTGAAGCGAAAGAGCGAAGCCAGAACGACGGGGTGACAGGTGTATACCCTGTCCAACGAAGTTGTCCGTAGTGTCAAATACGCTGTAAATGTATTAAACAGCCCCAAGATTTATAAATAAATAAGCTACGATTAGGGTATTTCGGGTATGTGGAATATTTCCAAACAATGCTTCAGTTAATTAATATTAAGGTGCGAGTTAATTCATAAAGCGTGTTCATATCCTGGCATACTTAAAAATGATGGTACTTCGTTATCAGATTGTTATATATTCTATGCAGAAGCAAAAAGGTAGAAAATATGTAGTCAAGAAGAAATGAAATTGTATAGTTAGGTGTATAATAAAAAGGCGCGGCAAAGAGATATCCGTTAAACCACAAATGAAATATTTTATTTACGTTTCACCTCTTTGGCAACGACTCTGCATTTCTGATATTTAATCAAGTTTTTAATTCCGATCGTGCTCTTTCTCTCTCTAACTCTAGGCACTCGGTCAATCTCTATTTTCACGATGCGATCTCTCTCGCTCCTGCGAGAAATGTGGGAAAGAACGGAATCCAGCACCCTGGCCTTTTTCCGATTTGAATAATTCATTGGAGACGCCAGCTTCTTAAATTAATATTTACGATAAATTAGCTTTCGTTATTTTCACCCCGCAGATTGTTTCAATAGGCACTCGTGATACGCACCGCAGAATATTTTATTTTAATTCGTTAAATCCTTTCCTAGAGTCCTTTGCAATCCACTCAAGAAATTAGACTTTTATAATGTCAGAATTACATTATTATTTACACAATTATTTTCCAAACAATGCTATGTTTTTATATTTATATATAAACTGGATTCTACTTTGGACTGTTTCGAAATCGAAAATAATTCAATATGTTTACTGCAGAATCAAGGAATAATTATTTTAAACGTTCAAACAAACCTTAAGGGGATGTGAAAGTGGCACCCGAAAGCTCAATCGTTCATAAAACTTTTCTCCGAAGTGGATGTCTCAAATCGTTTCATACTTCAAAACGTGAATATGGAGACCCTAAGGTAGGTCCTGAATCTCGGGAAATTTCATTTTCTTTAAACTATTTTTAAAATACCTATAAACAAATTTGAAAAGAATTGAAATTTCATGAGCTTCGGGACCTTCCTTATAGTCTCCCTATTCACGTTGTAAAGTTTAAAATTATTCTACTATTCTATATTAATTGGGAGAAAAGTTTTATAAACAAAACCTCTTCGACGCCACTTTCGCATCACCTTAACGAGATCACGCAGGCGTTGACAACTAGGGTCAAGCGATCGGCGAATCGCAAGAGGAAGGAGGGTGTTCTTCAAGAGGCGGCGGAGTTGTAAGTAACGCGCCTTTTCACCTTGACACAGTGGCCCCGATGTGACCAGGGTAAGCCGTCCAGGCCTGACCCAGTTCTGGTTCCTACTACTTGCTGAACCCTTCACCGATAGGGCACACAACGCCACCCACGTGTGTGTGCGTGTCTCGGCACAATTGGGAAAAGAGCCGTGCGCACGTCCTGGAGGTTGCACGAATGGTGCGTTCGATGCGACCAATGTTTACGTCGTTGCTTTCGCTCTTACAAATAAGGCTTCTAAATTTCTGATCTAAGTTACGAAACTGCAGAATAGTGTGCAGTTCAGAATGTGGAGTTTAATTACAAGAGGAGGCATGTAATGGATCTAGTCCTTGGGTACCACACAAATTACGGGATTAAAGGACGTGACTTCGTTTCAACTACAGGGGTTAAGCTTCTAAATCGATCGTTACTAATTATTATGAGAATGTTTGCTTACCAAACGATCTTGTGATTAATTCGATGGTTTCAATCTGTACGTAGCGTGCGTGGTGTTAACATTGATTTAATCTGGATGTAGTAGCCTCTGTATTCTGGAAAAAAAAAAAATGTGCTGTTAAATTCGACACGGATGTAGCCACCGTATATGGTATTCGTAACGTTGATTTAATCCGGATTTATTGCTTCCTCTATATGCTATAAAAATATGAAATTAGATTCTACAGCGTGGACCCACATGCCGTGATACGCATACAACGCCCCCACGCATATACGCGTATTGAACAATTTCAAAGGAAAAACGCTGGGACATTCAATCGTTAGAGATTGCACAACCGATAAAAGGATTTTAATACCTTACTTTTGTAACTTTCGTGATTTCCGTCCTGATCCTGAATTTATATAAAATTCTTGCTTGGTAATTAGACAAACATGGAGGAATTACAATTTCACAGGAAAAATACTTAAGGTGTTACATGGATTATTAAACTGATCCTAAAATAAAATTAATAATTTACTAGACGGTTTTAAAATATAATACAAGTTGAATAGAATTGAACAGTAGAAACTGAAATTATAGCCAGACCCATGATATAAGCAGCAGTACCTCCATTTTGTACTTAGAATTGTTAATGTCAATTAGACGCGTTAAACCATTTACTTGCACAATTTGGTAGGTCCATTAGCATTCGGTCGCAGTCTTACCACTATCCGGAGAACTCTTTGGCGAATAATTTCGGGAGCGATCGAGCACGGGAATCCGAGCTTACAACTTCGTGACCCCTTTAGTTTGGTGAAAGACTCAGCCGGGTGAAAAAGTTCCTGGCGACGAGATGCACCGTGAGACCGCGAGGAGACCCCTCGAGAAAAGCCTCGGGCTAAAATCTTACACGCCACTAATTGCTACCATTGTATCCAGGAGCGAACCCTCTCGTCGTCAACCCCCAAATTTCCTAGCTCCGCGGATTCATCCCCTCGACCGTGTCGGCCAAAATCTCGCTTTCCGAGCTTCGAGAATTCGTCCTTGTGCAACTTCCGCTTCTGTGTGGGAGCCCCGAAGAAAATACTGCTGAGACTTCAGACGCGAAAAGCTCAGCGGGAAGATCGATCCTGGACCAAAAAGTTCGAGACGAATTCGGACTATCCTCCAAGGATCGAATTTTCAAAGGAGATTCGTCGTCTTTCGTTTCTCCAATCGTGCGCCAATTCGTTTCCGACCTTGACGAATTTAATATCATACATGCACCACGTGGTGCACCTACCTATCTTCGACCTACGGCATGTAGTTTCGTTCTGTTGGAGTAGATTAAAATTTAAAAAAAATTCGAACTATCCTCCGAGGATCGAATTTCTAAAGGAGATTCGTCATCTCTCGTTTCTCCAATCATGCGCCAATTCATTTCCGACCTTGACGAATTTAATATCATACATGCACCACGTGGTGCACCTACCTAACTTCGACCTACGGCATGTAGTTTCGTCCTGTTGGAATGGATTAAAATTAAAAAAAAATTCGGACTATACTCCGAGGATCGAATTTCTAAAGGAGATTCGTCATCTCTCGTTTCTCCAATCATGCGCCAATTCATTTCCGACCTTGACAAATTTAATATCATACATGCACCACGTGGTGCACCTACCTAACTTCGACCTACGGCATGTAGTTTCGTTCTGTTGGAATAGATTAAAATGAAAGAAAAAGATGGAAATTATTTTTTGTCTGCAATGGCAGTAATTGTGGGTACATTTATCAAGCGAGGCGTACAGGTAAAAGGTAATATAGGTTGCTGAATTATTTGCATTTATTGCACTTCATTCCTAGTAGCATAGAATAATTTCTAAATATTTGTTTGTAATCTGCTAAATATCTGAAATATTTGTTGAAAATCTCAATGACATATTTAGTTTCAATAATTTATAAACATACATAATGTATTCGGCAGATAATATTAAAGAAATTAATACTTGTATTAAAATGAAACGAAATGTTTTGTATATCTGATAGAAAAATATTATGAAAACACATGGAGCTAATATTATATAAATATTGTAGAGATAATATTCTGAAGTAAATGTTTTGCATATATTTCAAATCTCTGCTAAATATTTGCAAAATGTACGATATTCTTTAAATATATAGAAAATAGGACAAATATTTTGTGCTACTAGGGATTTATCGTCGGTTTTTAGAAGCTCGGCTCCACATGTTATCGCTACGACATTCGGATTAGAGTTTCGAGGGAACTTATCGGTGACACAGGTAGCCTCGGGGTTGTCCATGTGCACAATTCCTCCCGTGATAAAGAGGAGCGGATCCTGAACACGAAGGGACCTTTCATCGGAGGGTATCAGGATAATGACTCTGAATGCGTACGGCCGACGAACTCGATGGTCCTCGAGTGAAGAGGGATGCTGGGGTTCAGAAGAGTGAGGGTGAGGAGACTTACGAGACTGCACGGCACTAAAATTCCTCCAAATGGTAAAAGAACGTGCGCAGAGTGCGTTTTGACATTTCCAGAACATGTGGCAGACCCCTTTCCGACTCTGGATTGAATTTACCACTGATATCACTATTTCTGATGCCGAACGCAAAACGAATGACTTGTGGTCAAATTCGATATCCCCCAAAAAAAAAAACGATCCTTAAATACTTAACCCTTTTAGTGCCACCCGAAGTCGTTAGCACATGAAAAACGACGATATATCGTTGTTCCGCACTAAAAGGGTCAATACATGAAAATAACGAACGCAAAGCAAATGACTTGAGGTTAAATTCGATATCTCCCAAAAAAAGCGATCCTTAAATACTTAACCCTTTTAGTGCCACCCGAAGTTGTTAGCATATGAAAAACGACGATATATCGTTATTCCGCACTAAAAGGGTCAATAGATGAAAATAACGAACGCAAAGCGAATGACTTGTGGTCAAATTCGATATCTCCCAAAAAAAAAGCGATCCTTAAATTTTTAGTGCCACCCGAAGTCGTTAGCACATGAAAAACGACGACATATCGTTGTTCCGCACTAAAAGGGTCAATACATGAAAATAATGTTCGCCGTTCCTTATTTTTTAATATTAAAATTAGGTAATTTAGCTGCCGTGTACAGTCACGCTCTCATTTTCAATTCTTAGCTTTTAAATACAGTAGTGTATTTCCAGGCATTCTTTATCAACCTTAATTTTTAGCAATATTTTGCGATGCGTGTAGACGCATCTTTGATGAACTCATCGTTTACCCGTATTTGTATAAAAATATTGATGTTGTGTAACTCTGGGCAGATCGAGAGGTCTTATCATCTTTCCGACTTCCTTTCAAGGTAGGATTGGACCCATCGTCCAATAGCGCTCGTTTTGAGGAAAAGCCAGAAATACCTTCGTTTTAAGGTCCAAAACCACATAATTCCTGAAAAATCAGCCGTATCGATAGTAGCTTTCGAGATCATTGCCCGCGAGATTTCGTCGCCTTGCTTCTTCGGCGTAATCATAAAGTCACGGATTGATCGATAAGTCGCGGTTTTGTCAAAAATACAACGTGGTACAGGATCAATCACTCGATAAACTCTCTTGGGTCCAGCCAGAAAGTTGGGTCTTCGAGTTTTATTCCTCCGGAGTTCTTGAAATATGTAATATTTTATGAGCGAAAATCAACGCTCGTCGGGATGATCTGCTCTTATCGAGCAGACGAAAGAGATAACGGATCGGCGTTGTACGTTTCAGGACTTGGGAGTGATCGGGACTCAGACCGGGAGAGGATTCGACATCGGACAGGATGGCCTGGGGTCTTACTAGCCTCGGGGTGGCTCTCGCCATCATCCTCGCAGCTGGAGCAGCCCTGGCCATCTACAGAAGGTAATCCTTCGAGCTTTTGCCTCTTCTTTTCTGTGCTCGTTATTTTCCACTCTCGACCCTCTACCCGGGAGACGATGTATCGGCTGCCGGATATTTCTCAGAGATACGATCCTTGAGCCGATGTATCGTTTAATAGCGAGCTTCATGAATAATTATATTGAAAAAGAAAAGAATAATACTTTAGAATTGAGATCGATCAGCAGGATGTCGGGGCGAGTTTCCCTAATAGCACAAAATATTCCTCCGATATTTTTTATATATTTAACGAATATCGTACATTTGAAATATTTGCAAAACGTTTACTTTAGAATATTATCTCTATAATATTTATATAATATTAGCTCCATGTGTTTTCATAATATTTTCCTACCAGGTATACAAAACATTTCGTTTCATTTTAATACAAGTATTTTTTAAATATTATCTGCCGAATACATTATAAATGTTTTAAAAATATTTAAAATCAAAATCACACGTTTTGCTCCCATAATGAAATAGCGGAACGAAAGTATTAGAAGAATTTCTCGTGTTTTTTTATACCGAATGAAATGTCCGATAAGAGTCATGAAGTAGAAAATGTATTTTTATTATATTAATAAGTTAAAAAATATAATTTCTCTATATGTTTATAAATTATTGAAACTAAATATGTCATTGAGATTTCGAACAAATATTTCAGATATCTTCAAACGAAATCTACTGAAAATCTTAAAAAATCTGTCGCCTGAGATATTTAGCAGATTACAAAGAAATATTTAGAAATTATTCTACGCTACTAGGGTTATCTATGAAATTTTAACAACACCTGGTTTATTTGCACGTAACTTTGTTTTTAATTATTAGATACTGTTTCGGGTGGCAATGGGGGGCCAGGAACATCTGGAGTGTCTGCGAGGAGTGGAGGCAGAGACTATCCTGGCTTTGGGCTCCTCGCGAGGAAAAGGTAAATTAGTGGTCGTATCAACTTTTTCATTTCTCCAAGAAAATCTACTTCATGCCCAGTCCTTCCTTAACCCGCCCGTGCCAAAGAATAAACTTTGATCTCGAAGAGAATGCACAAAAGAATTACTCTTTACTCAACATTTGTATTGTCTGGTTCATTTAGAATAAAATACTGCCATGACAACTAACATCTGTTTCTATAAGAACGAAAAGACATTTTAAAAGTAATTCTCTAGAGAACGAATATTTAACGCTAACTTAGAAATATATATAAATGCATATTTCCACGCAAGCTTCATGGTCAGGGAAGAAGATTTATTTTCGGAAGTAAAATAAAGATTTATATGATATAGAAACGTAATTTTAAACACGATACAAACTTCGGTACACGTAGAGAAAGGTAAGGCACGAATGATTTAAAAATATATTCCGAAATAGGTATTGTTAGAGATAAACGTTCTTCAAAGACGGGTGTTGGTGCATATCGCGAAAGAATACCTTTACTCGATACATTTTATTCATTTTGGGTAACCTTCCATATTTGTGGGATACTGATTACCGGTAATGCGAAGTATTCTTGTAATTGTTGCAGGTTGGTTTGGTCAAAGCTCAAAATTCTACCGCACAGACGGTTCCCGGGCTTTATAAGCAAGCCGGAAATACGTCGCAGTATCTTCTACACAGTGAGAGTGATCTAAGGCTAAACGCTCAGGGAACTTTCACCCGGTAAGAAGGTTTCAAAGGTCGTATTTGCGAATGGCCCGATCCTACTTAAACTTTCGACGTTGACATTGCCTTCGGAAAATCTTCTTAAGGTTTCACCGAAGTGCCAGCCTTTCCGTCGTCAAAAAAGTATAACTTTTCACGCGACAAAGCAGGCACCTTCGGACAATAAGCTAATTTGCAAAAATCAATCTATCATTATTCAATATGTCCAACTGTATTATTTCCCTGGTAAACGATATGCATTTGAAACGTCATTTCCATGTTTGCGTGAAATCTGAAAACATCCAACTAGTTAGCAAATTTTTTACGTACTCAACACATTTCATTATTAAACAAAGAAACCTTATCAGTCTCTTGACATGTTTAAAAGAACATTATTAGTTCATCTTGTTACGCAACGTTCTTATACAAAATTTAACAGGATAAAATCGCTTTATATAATAATTTTGGCCGGAGTTATATGTACAAGATGAGGATTACGAATTTACTAAAATCGAACTTGTGACCAGGATTTGCATTCTATCAAAGAAGAGGCGCGGCTTCACAGCAACTAAGTCCTACCGACTGTATACCCTTCATAATACTCCTCCTGTGTATATTAGTCATTAAAAATATCCCGGACATCAATATAGTCCTATAATCCCTCTTCAAAAAATCCGCGTCGCCGTTTTATTCGTTCTCTGAGTGATTGTCGGAAGCAATTGAAGACTACTAAAGATCGTGGGATCGCACATTATGCTAGTTTATTTTAAAAATTGCATAATATTATATGTCATATATAGAATACATCAAAAGAGATTCCCCATCAGGTACGAAACGTTCCACTTATCTAATATCGTTAAATTCTGCTATTTTCCATAGAATGGTAATTTACAACGAAATCCGTAAATTTCTCAGCCATTTGTTAAAATCACAAATTAAAAGGTACATATATCTTCGTTCCGAGGCGATAAGTCCCACTGTGCATACGTTCATCAGTCGTACCGCCATTGTTCTGTAAATTTCATTACCGTACATCGGCTTTAACGAGCAACCTTGATTTGGTACAGATTCGAGGCGGTGGACAGAGACCTTCACCCACCCCTGGGTGGCGGTAGCACAATACCACCGCAACCATTGCGACCGGCACCACAACCAAGGCCAATGGCACGTCCTAGACCGTCTCCTCTACAGGCTCCAAGTGGAGCGGATTACTTGAAGCTGCAGGAGGCAGGTCCGGGTCCTTTGACACCGCCCCCACAACCAAGAAGCAGCCAACACCCTCGGCCATCGGGTCCCACCGGCTCGAGCCAGGGTCAGGTCTTTCTTTTCCAGACTGAGGCGAGTTCAACGTATGGTCCCTTCGGACCGGTAATGGATCAGTCGGTTTCCGAGTTCGAGAGTTTCGCCTCGAGGGCATCCGCGGAAAGCATACAGATGACACCTTACAAAGTGCAGAATCAAGTGGAGACCAGGGTCCCGAACTGCCATCAGTCCAGGTACGAGATGCAGGAGAGCCAAAACAGGGTGGAAGCCTACGACAACACGGGTGGCCCATTTAGACCGTTCGATGTCAGCGAAGAGTCCTCCAAGGTCCGGTACAGTTTACAGGGGACCCTGCTGTCGGATGGACTTAATCGGACGTACGAGGAGAATTATACGACGACGGTCCCTTATGGCAACTACGACATAATTCAGAGGAGCCACGGGACCACTCAGCATCCCTCGAGGCACGTTAGGAACGAGTCCAGAGGGTCGCAGAACAGTTTCGGAGTAACGTCGTCCGCGAGCACCGTGGATTCCATTTACGGGCCCCAAATCATGTCGAAGATCCTGCAGAGTGGTCCGAAACTCACGCCGGGCACTAACTCCGGGCAGAACGAGGCGCAGAATATAGAGATGATACCCTTCAAGAACTCCGTCGCTCTTCAAGACGTGGGTGTCGCTTATGGAGCGCATGCCAGTCCCTCTAAAATTCCTACCGGTCTACAAAGGGTTTCCCAGTACGTGCAAAATCTCCCGGATAACCCGATCTACGAAGCGAACAATCATCTCGCGTACCAAGATCAGGAGACCACGATGTTTCATCGTCTCGACGACCCGACGAACTTGATGAAGGAGTCTCAAGATACCGCTTCTGGTCCGGTCCCACCACCCGCGCCTCCGGATCCTCCAACTTCCGCTTCTCAGATGCGGAAGAACGGTCCCACCACCGGGGAAAGAATTTTCAAGGCTCTGAGATCTGTAACCTCCCAGAGTTACATCGATGCTTCCGAATTTTACAAGTAATTATTACTTTATGACATCCTGTCTAACCCAACCTGTACCGAGTGGGAAGTACAATTGTCGAGGAAACGTTGGTCAACGTGTATACGTAATAAAACGTACACGCTACAATTGCATGGATAATAATTTGTCAATCATATAGATGTTTCACTTCGTTCACTTTCGTACGAATGCAAATTCCGATATCTTTTTAAATAACGAATTGTCTATCAAAGGAAGATTAAATACAATTTCATACGCATTACTCTATTTAATCGAGTCGTGCCCTCGATATAACAGTAATCAATATCGGTACTGGTATTGGTAATTTCATGTCTCACGAGTAGAAATCTAACGTAAGAATTTTTAAATTTGGTACTAACAATTTAATCATTGAAGTGTTACATTTCTCTGTGCAGCTCCGTCATATCTTCGGCGCAACAAGTGCAGCGATACGCGTTCCCCCCGATCTCCAGGTCATCTACCATGGAAAACGCGAATAATATGTCAAGTATGAGCTCCGGATCTTTACACAATGAAGTTGCAGAGTTTTATGATGACAGAGATGCTGAGTCGATGGGTCAAGATACCAACCAACGAAGTTCGGATCTTTATAGTCCTGAACTTAATCTAGAAGCTCACAGGACTGCACAAGAGGTAAGATCCATCTACTACTTCTTAAATATGATATTACGGCACACAATAAACCTCCCGACAAATTACTCCTTATATAGTTTAAGGGGATGCGAAAGTGGCATCCGAAAGCTCAATCGTTCATAAAACCTTCCTCCAAACTGAGTGTCTCAAATCGTTTCACACTTTATAACGTGAATATAGAGATCCTAAGGTAGGTCCTGAAACTCGGGAAATTTCATTTTCTTTAAACTATTTTTAAAATACCTATAAACAAATTTGAAAAGAATTGAAATTTCATGAGTTTCAGGACCTTCCTTATAGTCTCCCTATTTACGTTGTAAAGTTTCAAACTATTCGGTAAATCGAGTTGGGAGATAAGTTTTATAAACGAAACCTCTTCGACGCCACTTTAACATCACCTTAATATCGTAAACATAAAATAGGTTTGTACCGATGTTTAATATTAAATTTATTATGTACAAAACTGTGAAATTATACCAACGTTGCGATGTTACTATAACGTGTCTTCGGACAAAATGTCTACACTCTTCATTTTATTTTTCCAATAAATAATATCATTTTATAAACGTTTTTAAGGTATACAACAGTTTGCAAGATCCACCGTCTTCGCCGTTGCTTCTGAAAGACCACAATCAAGAGCCTTATCCTTATCTAATGGATCCTAGTTTCACGAGAACTTCAGAAGTAAGCCTTATATCGATTTCAAAGGTGTCTGATATTTCTGAAACTTGATATAATATTAGTCACATAACGTTTGTAGGATATCTTCAATAGTTTAGAACATAGGAGAAAAAGTATGGAAAGGATTAATGGATACCAGGATTTTATAGACCTGGATGCATCTAACCCACCGAGGTAAAGTAATTCCTATACTTTAAACAAATACTTGTTCACTATTGAAACAACAACTACATTGTGTTTTTATTCCTTATCAAATGTAAAATTCTACAAGAGGCAGTGTTTCCCATAACGCTGTCCTCTGTATTACTTAACGTTAATATAAAAACTATAGTAATTATTGTAATTAATGCAATTCTATCCTTACACAGAAGGCAAAGTAGTCAAGATCTGTTCGCGGCTTTAGAGGAGGTCCAGTTAAAACGGAGATTATCGCAGGTAAATTATAAAGTTTGTCGCCGTACAATTTCCTAAACAAGCGAAGACAAATCTGTCGAATTAAATGTGAGACGTCCTTCTACTGAAACAGACCACTCATACAAACATTTTTTTTTCTTTCAACGTGTGCTGCCCCCTAAATGTTTTTTAATTCTCTCCTAGTCATTGGACGAAACGTGCTCGGGGTTTTCAATAATGGACATTGGGGATTTATTTTCACCGAGTCGTCGCGAGTCTCAAGGATCCGAATTCGAGACGCCTGACGAGACAAACCTGAAGAGAGCGATCAGCTGTGACAGCGTGTGCTCGGACACGAGCGTCGTCATCGGTGATCTTGAAAAAGCTCACATCGTCGGCCACGTATGTGTAGGACTAGAACACGAAAGATGGGGAGCTAGAGGAGCTGACGGGGAAAGTGATCTTACAGTTAGTATATTAGAAGCGAAGGATCTCGTTGCTGCCGACAGTACCCCAGCTCAGGACACATTCGCTAGGTCAGAATAATTATATTATACCTGACGCACGGATTGTAATTTTTCTTAAATAATTAACAGAACGTTTCACTCGTTCCTTCCCGTTTCCAGGGTCTGCCTCCTCCCGGACAGGCAAACGCACGTGCAAACGAGATTGTGTAGACGTTCTCCTTCGCCGAGCTATCAGGAGAAATTTTTATTTCCTTTGGATGGCGGTCCCGTTGGGAGAACTCTCCTCGTGGAGGTAAATGGAATCCTTCCAATGAGATAAATGGGATGTTTCATTGTATCTGGCGTTTACGTTTCATCAAAAGATTACGTGCGCTTTTGCCCCGTAAAGTAATTTTCCTCGACGTTGTATCACCTCTATTTTTTAATTAACTGCTTAGAACACTGTTCATTGGATTTCTGATGTTTCTTTTGATTAACTTCTGACAACGTTAGTCAGTGAATTTTTACCCGGTTTTTCCAGATATTTTCCGTGGAAACTAATACCGGTGGTGGTGCGTCTCTTCTTGGAGAAGCGAGCTTAAAATTGACGCCAACTCCGAGGCCATCTGCGACAACCTGGCTTCCTCTAATTGGCCCTAGTCTACCTGTCCCACACCTGGGAGAACTGTTATTTTCCTTAAGTTACTTACCTACCGCCGAAAGACTTACTCTCGTCGTAGTAAAAGCTAGAAATTTACGGGGATCCAATCCAATACCTGGGGATTTCTTCGTTAAGGTAAATCAAGTCTCACGATCGATTAACAAAACAAATTAAGAATAAGTTATCTTACTCAAGACTACAATTTCTTCCAGGTATATTTACTGCAACAAGGGAAAAAGTTGCATAAAAAGAAAACGTCCGTGAAGAAGGGCGAGAAGAGTCCGATTTTTAACGAGGCGATAATATTCAACGTGCCAGCCCATGCATTACAGGTACGAGCAACTTGTTACTCGTTAATTAATTTATTTCAATTATTCCGAATTTTTCGTTAAACAAACCTCCGAAAAATCTTGGACGGGTTACAAATGTCTAGTTTATACGACTTTATTTTCAATCGTTAATCATGTTCTTTTCACAAATAAAATGTGTCCCTTTGCATCTTACGGAACCGTAAGCAATAACATTGACTTTCTGAATTTTAGAACATTCAACTGCGATTGACAGTGGCAGAGGTGATCGGTGATGCAGGGACGAACTCAAAGACATGCCCTATCGGGCATGTGATAGTGGGTTCATCAGGCACCGGAAAATCATTGGCTCACTGGAGGCAAATGCTGGCAGCCTTAAGACGTCCGGTCGCTATGTGGCATCCACTTAGAAAATGATTTGCTGCCGGTGTCGAAGCGATTTCGCTTTGCTGCTTTATCGCGAAAACATGGGTGAACATGTCGGCTGCGAAGGAAGCAGACGTGTCACCGAATTTTTTTAATGTATGCAATCACTTTCCGACTGAAGATAGGTCGACCTATTTTAAGACTTCCTCCAAATGCCGAGGATCGAAGAAGATATCATTTTAGTTAGAATAGTTGATAATCCAAGGGTAAACTGACGCCTTGTTCCGACGCCGAAAATCGATTGGGAACCAAAATTCAATCTTGAGCAAGTTAATTGTTTCTCTAGGGTCTTGTTCAGCTCATAACGCACGGAGTTCGGGTGTTAAACAAAGACATTACATTCCGTGTCGCTGAAAGGTGATACTTAAATCCTAATTACTAATTTATTAACGTATTCGTGTAAAGCTTACTATTATGGGTGACCTGATCAATCTATGCGAGCATGATGCAGAGAGACAAAGCGTGCTCCCTAGGAGGTCTCATTTTTTACTACTCCTCCGCCTTCCGAAACGCCGCTGTGTTATAATGTGACAGCAATTGTTTATGAATATGACGAGTCAACTATATTTTCGAAAGAAAAAAATGTCCGGATGTTCGGTAAAATCATGAAAAAACAGGAATGGAAAAACGAAAAGCGTTACTAATTATAGATTTTTCTTTTATATTTTAGGCTTTGTATAGTTACTTCGTTTTCGGCACTATATTTTCGCTGGTTGTTATGCAACATGGCTACGTTTTGGAAGTGTAGTATGATTGGTACATCGAAAGGAGTGCCGCGGTAACATACGTTGTGTCCTTTGTATCATGTAGACAAGATCCCGTGTTTTATGAGAGCATGACGATATCTCGTGTCATTCAAAACGAGGAATGCCCATTTGTATAATATATGATAGGTAATAATTCGAGCGAGCACGTTAGAAGACGAAAAGGTGCGCTCGTAAAATTCAACAATCTCGCGTTGCAGTTTACCCAAGGGAGACGGAAAATCGTATAGTTAGTTGCTACACCTAAAGTTGTGTACCTATGACAAAGTTATTGATGTTTATCATCGCAGACTGATGTCTATCTTGATTCGATATCAAAATCATCGGCACGAATCATTAGGCTTTAATGTCATCGTCATCTTACTCGTGAGGAAAAGAGAATAACTAAATTTTATATTGTTATGTTCCAATTGCGTAGCAGAATGTTCACGATTTACAGAAGAATTTTCCGTGACAGATTAGCGTATCACTGCGACATATTTGACGTCCCACCGGACTTGAGCTGCCAGAACTACTTCCTCGATTCCGTTCTCCAAAATGCCTAAATGGATATACACCTTTGTTTTCATTTTTTTTTTAAAGAAGGTACATATTAGACGTAAAGGGCTCCTTGCAATCTGAATGTGAGTACAATGTGATAACCCACCGCAAAACTTTTGGCTGATGTGAGACTGCAATGAAACGTAGAAAAAATACCGTGACAGCAGTCAGTACTTGTATAACACTTTCAGGAGCTGCAAAACCCTCGTTACCAGAAGCAAAATTTCTAGCTACTAATGCCTAACCTATTTTCAATAGTTTAGTGTACTGAAAATCAAACAACTTTTATGATTAACCATATTTTAATAGAAGCTACCTCCCTTAAAGGGATGTGAAAGTGGCATCTGACACGGAGAAAAAAGAAGTCTGCTAAACTTACAGAAAAATCTGTAAAATGTACCGATTTTATCTATTACAATAGGGACAGCAGATTATTTCTGTCTAGTTTCTGTTACTCGATTCCGTAAAGATTACTGATAACTATCTGTAGGGATTACGGGAAAATATTTGTAACTAACTAAACGGATAAGTAACTGTATAGAATAGAACTTGATACATGTAAAAATAACAGAACAATGTCTGTGAAGATAACAGGAAAGGTTGCAGATAAAATTCTGTAATAGTTACAGATACACATTTGTCAGGTGTCACGACATTAAAATGTTAATATTAGAACCTCCCGAAATTCCTAATTAGTTCTTTTAATGGTATATTCCCCCAAATGTCAAAACAGAAATCTAAAACTCCTTTATAATCAAGAATGAATCATATTTAATCTTTTCGATAGTTATAAAAGAGTTTGTGATTTCCATTTTGTCATCCTGGGTACCTATAGAATATAAATATACCATTAAAATGATTATCAGGAATTTTCAGAAACTCCAATATAAACACTTTAATGTTATGGTTTAAAGGTTGCATAACATTTGAATTTAAATTTCTTTATTTATGCAACAGTCAACTTTTTTTAAAATTTAGTAAAGAATACTTCTGTTGGATTTTTCACGCATATAGGATATTGTTAAGGTTTGTCAGGATCCTTATAATTCCCTATTAATATTATGGATTCCCTATGAATATTATAAAAATTGAGACGATTCGGTGCACCCAGTTTGAAGAAAAGTTTCATAATCGAAACCTCTTTGATGCCTCTTTCACATCACCTTAATCGATAAAATTCAATCAAGTACCATCGTTTTCTCCATTTGACTAATTTCTTCGCAACACTTTTAAAATCTGGTCGAAGGTGAAAAATAATCTATGACATAGATATTATATTTAACTTTAAATAACGAATATCTAGTCAACTTTAATTCTGAACTTCATTTAACAAGAAAGAAACCTCGAAAAGGTTCTATCTCGACTATTATTTTCTTTTTCGAACATCATTTTATATTTATTGATACTAAAAAACTGTTAATATTTACGGAAGTAGTTTTATAAATATATTTACTTCTTAATTATTAAAAGCAATTGGAATCTTGCCATTTATAATGCCAAATGAATTAGAACAATGCATCTATTAATCCTATCACTGGTAACATAATACATCATATTATGGCTAAACACTATAAAACTTTATGCACTGGAGTAATTTAACATTTTTTGTATGGTACTAGCTCAATGAAGAGAACGAAATCCACTGATTGAATAAATTGACCGATTTGCTCTCAATGTTAAACTCGAATAAAAGAAAAACACTTGTCTAATTTACGTTAAATTTATCAGTTGTCAAGATGGTTGCAATAATTCGAATCGAAATGTATCGATACTCTTTCGTAAAGCCTTATAACGTATAAAAATGTCCTCTCGTTCCAAATTAAGCTCCAGCTGAGATGTGGCATCGTGCTATGTGCCATGAAACTTTTTCTAAAAAACTACCACTCGATTCACGACGAGTTGGCAAGAGTTTAAACTCTAGTAAGGCATCACCAGTGAACGAGAAATCCTCTGCTAGCGTTTACTGCAGTGTAATACATGATTGTTGTTCCCGATGGAATGTTAACGTTTGTACAGAGTTTATTAGCAAGGCATTCGAGGTGCCGGATATTTTCGAATTCGCCCGTACGGGCTCATTTCCGATTACGTTCAGCGATTGAAAATTTCTCTTCTCCCTCCCTTCATGTCGCTATAATTGCATCTCACTTCCCCTTTTACTATCCCAAAAGTCCCTAACCGATCTGCAAACTTTCTGCGCGATTATTTGCCTGAATCGTAAATTGCAACGCGTCTATGTACTTCCTCTAATCGAAAGGTATCCCCGGACACAGGGAGTGCTTTCGAATATGGAAATCGGAATTCTCATGTATTCGTCATGGCAGAGAGAGTGTCCAATCTCGCACAATGCAGTCGTGTACTCTGGCATTCGTGCACGCGATGATTTTACACGCGACCAGTTGTGCACTTGGTACTTCGTGTACATAATGAATCGTTCATAGGTCTCCAATCATACATAGAAAACACGCGGCCAGCCAGATATTTAGATCACATACGAACTTAACTTGGAAACTGATGATAGTACATTGTGTACTAAAGAAGCAAAATGGGTGTTTAACGCCGGCGTGCCTTGCGATACGAGAGAAAACGAGTATCGTGAGTACGTAAGGCATAAGCGACCCTTACCTTCATGGTACCGGCGATACTTTATATAACAAAAACATAGGTTACGCATCTTTTTGCGCAAGGATATGTATGGGAACTTTTTCGTCCTAGGACGTTTTGAGGCTCTTTTCTGTCCTGCCCCCATTCTCTTGAGAAGATGTGTAAACCATGCTCGCGGTACATACAAATTATATCCCCCTTGAGACCAGGGCACAACCCTAAATTTGTACCGTGAGGAGCGTGTGGGACACTACTAAATTATTTTTATTTCTTAGATTTTACAGGAATTCATTCGGATCTGACCAAAAACTGTCAGTAAATCTGCAGAACATTAAAGTGATAAAAATTGCTTATCAATCGCAGAATTTAATTTCAAGCCATATCGGTAAAGTATATGCCATATTGACCGTGAACATGACCAGCTCCTTGAATTGAGGGGATTGGGTTGACTTTAAGTGGTTCGCTCTAGATTTCAACTATTACGGTTGTTGTGCTATATTGTTGGTGATCTAAAATTTATTTTTAAAAATCAGTAATAATCATTTGCATGATCCAAGGCAAACTTGGCTGGCCATAGACGTTGAACACTTTTTTGGATTGGATACTTATGCACGATCTCTCGTGGTCATGATCGATGATCTGCACGATTAGTACCGTCCCGTCATGGGTCAGAAGTCGTAAGTTCACTTCTGGTCCAATGGAACAAAATTATTTCGAACGAATTATATAGTTAGCCTTGCGAACTTTACGGTCTGTCTATACCTATAACTTTTGTACCTCTTCATATACGATTACTAAAGGTAAATCTATGAATATATACGTATACATAAACATTACTTATATGTACATACACATTCGTAAAATCACTTAACGTAACTGCGAGAATTTTACATGCTATTATACACTTTTGTCATAATAACTTTCGTAACCATTACTTATTCAAATCTTTTCTATCACCAGAACTATGGGACTAATATCGCTGAACTCACTTTCTCTCTATATATTTCTGAGACATCAATTCACGACATAAATTTCCATATCGTATGCATTTGTGGCAAGTCACGTATTACATACTAAAATCCGCAGTATAAAAAGTAAGCACTTTCTTCATGAACGCTTTTTTAAATTAGTCAAATACGTATAATTTATTATGTAATTTTGTATCAACATACATGATCCGTAAACGATCTTAAAAATTGTCCCTAATGCAATTTTTTTCTCTATGATGCTATTTTACTCGAGAAATGTCATATTTTTAGGTATATTGACACGAATGTTTGTTAATTTCCTCAATGTTAATCGTAATCATGCTCATCTTCTGCAAACCTACAAAAATGTTTATATGATTCACAGAAAACATTTTGTATGTAGCTGTTATATTTATATTAATTGATTTTTATTATTCTTATTTTTTATAACTTCTTAAACTGCGGTTTTTCGTATGGCCTGTATATAATTATAGGGACGAGTCGAGGTAGCATATTTACCATTGGCACTGTTGTACATCAGCACAAAACTGAATTCTTTATTCTTAATACCTATGTGCAAACATGTATCTGCGTTACAATACTGTGTTTACAGCATACAATTGCGAACATCGTATCGAGCAATGAGAAATAATGAATGGAGTTTGAACTAAAGCGTTTGGCAAATTGCATCTCCTCCACTGAATTTAGTTTTGTCAGAGGCTAGAGTAGTCGAAAGTCTGAACGAAAGGAAATAAGAGAGAAGGAATGGAAACAGGACGAAGGAACTGACGTAGAAGTAGAGTGATAAATGGTGAAGACAATAATAGAACAAAGCGGTTCGTCCCATAATCCTAATTTAATTATAAATATTTTCTATTAAGTTAAAATTATTGGCGGAAATTGATCTCAGCTTTGTAATAAGGAGTATTAATTTACAGCAAGTGTCTAGTTATTTGTAACGTGGCGTTTTTTAAAATGAAAAGAGAACATCACGAAGTGAAGTGTTTGAGAATTAGGTAGGCGTTGATAATTACTGTTTAAGGATGTCAAGGATTATAGTGATTTGTACTTTGTGGGACTAATCGCTGCATGTAGTGATTGCACGAGTGCATGATTCATACAGAGAAACTATAAAATTTAAATTGTTTTATATTTTTGTTACGCCTCTCTGTGATATAATAAGGGCACATTCACGTCATCCTGTATATCGATTAACCTTTGTATCTTATTAAGGTTACACTTTATAAAGGAACAATCCTTGCCTTGCCCTACCTACTGTATCTTGGACTGCTCTCTAACCACAGGAAGGGGATACATATATGTTAAGGGTATCAAATTTAGACATACTTCCCGGACGTATGTCGATTAGACTAAATAGTAAACAGATATATTACTTTTGACAATTTATTGTATATCATAAAATAAATAAATTAAGAAAATGAGAAATCTAGCACATTTTGCAGTATGTACCATACGAGTCTATATATTAAGTGGCCTCTCGAGGAACTACACGACAAATCAAACTATTTCAGCGGCCTTTATACAAATCTTATGATTTATAACTATCATATTTTAATGCATATTTTATAAATGCTCAGGTGAAGATACAAAATATTATCGAAGTCACGTCTGCTTACTTTGTAATAATTAACTTAATATTTCGAGATACATTACACCCTGTCTCTGCAACGTGTAATTCTGCACGTCGAGTAATTTTCAAAACTCTCTAAATTATACTACATAATGTCCAAACTACTGTCCCATGACAGTTTTCAGAAATAAACATTGAACTGGAAGTTTATATCTAATTTAAATGTTATCTTTAAGCATGCTGAACAAATCATTCTTCTATCATAAATTGTACTTTTTGAAATATTTTGCCACTCTTAATTTCATAACTAGAAAAAATTTAATTTTAACATATGTGTACCCCTTTAAAGTCTAACATGCATAGGGTGAGCCATATTTTTGGCATAGGATTGCTTGTAAAGTTAAACTGCGACGCTGCTTGCGCAGGCACTATATTGGATAAACTACTTAAAATGTACTAATTAAAGTATGACATGTTGTATCATATTAACTTAAGGAGCAATCGTAATGCATCAACTTCAACGGAAAAAAAATGATATTAAAACTGAAAATGTTAATAATTATAATACATCTTACAAGACAAGGAGAATCATGTACTATTAACTATACACCGTCATTGTTAACCATGGTTACGGTTCTATTTACACGGTTCGTTAACCGAATAAATTCAGAAAATATATTTAAACTAAACTCTGGCACGTTTGCATTTTTAGTACAGCTCATTGTAAACAACAAATAAACCTACGTGCTCCCTTCCTCTTACTACATAAAAATAAGAAATTACTCGATATTCTAATTTCTCTTTGACTTCTTATATTTTTTTCTTATATTTCCTGAATCATAATTTCATTATGCAACTAATAAACATAGCAGGTATATTTCACTGGATTATATACTGAATTTATTATATAATTAAACTATTCCATAACAGGTCTGGGAAGTTCTATGGTGGGAATACGGATATGAACATATTATGTAATATGAAGTAAACTTTACATAAGATTGCATATGCTTCATACATATAATATCGATTGATCATCTATTGTTACCACTCTGTCCCCGCAATAGAAAGAGGCAGAAAGTACTTCGTATAATTTTTTTCTCTGTATATTCTTTTCTGACCAGACACGTTATGGTTTCATCTATCTCGGACAAATGCTTACCGAATTTCGTGCGACAAGGATGCAGGGACGTCCAAATCTATGTCTCTCTGGAACAAGCTCGCCGTGTATTCTTAAGCTCCAGTTTATTATACATTTCACTGGGTTAACGACAAATAATATTTTAATTTCAACGTGATACAAAGCGCGCACTCTCGCCGTTACGAGTTTTTGTCGGTTGGTTTCTTAACTTAAACTGGCGCCTTATGGCGCTCCACGCGGAAGACGCGGGAGTCAACGGTCAAGCCGCCTTTTTAGCGCTCGAGACGCCGCACTGCGGACGCCGCTGGTAGCGGCGGCGAAGCCGTCACAGGCCTAACCGTACCGCCGCCATCTTTGCACCGTGTCCAATTGGGATTCACACATTTTTTGTTGATATACTGCCCGTTCCGTCCACAGAGGACAGCGGCCATGCAAGACAGATTCTATGTAACAGAAAGCAATCCCAGACTTTGTTTCTACTTTGTGTGGTTTAGGACGGCCTATAGTATTCGCAGCTGATTCTTACAATTGTTTATGATATAATGAGAACAAAATATTCATTCGCTTAATTTCTTTTTTTGTTTCTCTTATTTTAAGTGTACTTTATCTTGTTCCAGTATGGGATGCTGTTACAGCTTTTTTTGCAAGGACGACGGTGGGCCGCAGGTATGATATGTAAGATAAAAAATGACTCACGGATGTCATTTTTAAATGTTTATCTTAACCGGATTCTCAGAAAACCTTACAAAAGCATGACCTGTTCAACACTCATACATTTTGTCAAAGAGGTTATCTTTTGTCTGTACTAAGATGATTTAATTTCCAAGTTATTTTTATAGGACACCGAATTCAGTGTTTATAAGTATTTTAATACATAATGACAATTTTGTTTTATGTACATTACATTAATAGTGTATTCAACATTCTCGCATAATATAAAATGGAATTATATTAAAAGCATTGCAGTTTGTACAAGTCAATAATGTGTTTACGTGTTGATTTTTTAGAATGGTGACGTTAATGAAAGAACACATTTGTTAGTGGATCCGGTTAGTAATAACACAAATATTCCTACTGTACCTAGGTAAGTTAATCGGCGTACATACAAATTTGCATGAGATTTAGAAATGTATAATAAATAAAAATTTACCTGGAATTTTTGTGTTCAGTGAGGATTATGTCAACCAGTATGCAGGTTCTGCACCTAAAAAGACTGACGAACAGAGTGCACTGAATAGAATATTACACGAAACAGCAGCGTGAGTTTCTATCTTTATTTTTAATTTTTATTCGTATTCATAGAAACATTGCTTAATCCTTTAACTGAGGAGAGTGCCTAATACATCTAAATTCTATTTGCGTTTTACCATTGCGCTAAGCAAATAGCATATTTTTTTCTCAGCGCTCTGCAGTCAATGGGTTAAACAATCATGAATATAATTATTTATATAATTTATATTATAAAAATAAAAATCTTAATTGATAATCTGGCAATGACAGTAAGATTATTTTTGTATTTACAGGAATGTCATAGATGTTGGTGCATTAGATTCCCATAACCTAGAGCAACATGAATACAATGACAGATCAAGAGCATATTCAAAAAGAATAAAAGCAAGTGGAGTTAAAATTCCAGATTGCACGCATCATCTATTGAAAGATATTCCTGCTCCTGAACGAATACTAGCTGCTGAAGCTGTAGCTCCTGAGGACGTTAAATTGGTGAATAGCATTTCATTTTTTTACATTTGTGCTACAAAAGATATTAAAAAATTTGTTAACATGTTTATTATTATCATACTATTTACAGATTAAGAATCTGTTGGAAAAAGCAGAATTAGCCTTAAATGATGTTAAGGTAGAACATAAAGAGGACTTGGTGGTTCCCTTCCTTTCATGATCTTTGGCTAGTTAATGTGGCCACTGTACTGTCTCAAATAATTGTGATAAATCCAAACAATGATATGGTTCTATTGGTCCTCGAGTACATGTTTGAGTAGCATGGGCTTGATATGTATATAAGTTAATCATTTAAATTGACACAGAAATGTTAAGGGCCACCGATGTTTTAAAATAACTTTCTATGCAGCAACTGCTGTTTACTCAGAATAATTTTCATAATCTTAAGAAAAAATCCCAAAAAATGTTATAGCCGCACAATTGCCTACTAAAAGTCTTCTTACGCGTTTAAGTATTTTTTTTTTTTTTAACAAAGAAATGGGCTAAAATTTATACCCTATATGTGACATTTTCATGCTAAGTCTTAAACCTCTGAATGATGACAAAGATATTCAAAATTAAACTGTCAAATTGTGCATTACATGAACGTAATGATAAATCAATTAATGACACTAGCCTGTTGGAACTTCTTTTCCGAATTGGAGAGAAATGTTCAATACAATTTGTTACATGATTTTGTCTATAGAACTATAAGGTCTGTTTTCTGTGTACATAATGAAACTTACTCTTGACGTGAATATCGATATTATACATTTTATGTAATGTCTCGAGACTAAAGTCACTCTATTATTATTATACATATATACAATAGTTATTAACTGTCATATTATTCTGTAATAAAAGATGTAACTGAAATATAATATAGTTTTTGGTTAGCTTTTATCATGTATAAACAGTGTTATCTAGAGATATTAGTGGGTTGAGGCGCTCTAAGTTTGGATTTACTAATTCATAACCATTTCATTAGAGAGTGTAAAATTAGTTAATATGACCTTTGTCTTAAATATTCACTTGGATTTGAAATATTTTTAGAAATTAGAAGTACCTAAGTAAACGTTTTTCTTTTATAAATTGTACAAAATAGGTCTGTTAACTAATTTTTAACATAGAAAGGAAATTTAGTTCGTACAAATATACAAGTGATGAATCTGCGAACAAATTTGTTCAAAAGAGACTAGTTCAGTAATTAAAAATTTGGCACTAATATTTTCTTTTTACGAACATTATATTCATATGATCTATTTATTCCTTTTCCATGAATTGTCTCATAATAAAAATCGGCAACCGTTGAAGATTTTTTTTTAAGTCGAACTGATATATTATCTGTGCTTTCAGTGACCTAACGTACTGTCAGATACAAAACCAAATGTCGTAGTAAGTTAATTTGAACCACTCTAAAATTACTAGCAGCAATTTATCAATCTTATTTTTACGGTATAATACAGTTTTTATAATAACCGAGTAGAAATTGTTAAATTTGGGTAAATCATATTAGGGGTACCCATAAGTAATCAATTTTTTTGACGTCTAAAACATCTCTTACAAAATGATTACTTATGGGTACCCTTAATATTAAATATTGGACATTTCTAATGGATGAAAGAAATAATTAAGAAATCACTATATTTCACGTGAAATTTACTAAAATGATCTTATAATAATGGGTTCTTATTTATTTCTACACTTACTCTGAAATAGGACTTTTCTATTGAACGAAAAGTTATTAACGCAAGAAATAACAATGTTACGTATTACTTCGAACTCAATGCGTCATCATGTCCCGTGGACATTACGTTTCGTCGCATTAATGTATGCAAAATCATGATTCAGATTTGTTTAATCCATAGATCATTTGAAAGGTTCCTGCGACTAAACGCAGGCATGCTCGAAATCATTATATTTTACCGTCTCTTTATGCTCATCACTTGGGGAAAGACATTTTTTAATAATATTTTCATTTCAAATAGATAAAATTATCCGTATGTTAGTCAGCAATTATCTTCCGCATGTAACTAAATAACGTACAAAATAATACATTGACATAAAATTAAAGTATCTCTAATAATTAATGAAGACTTCATACATAAAACCTTATTCTACACGTAATATTTATCTTTAAAAAAGTATTTGAGTTTCTTCAGTAATTGCATTTTCTGTTTAAATAATATTGTACGAATCTACAATACAAGACAGCATGTTTAATATGTCCACTGTATCAGGGTGTTTTCTGCCTCGTGAACAATTATTAATATCGCGGGTATGTTTACGTCATTTCTACATTTCTACACCACGAATGTTTCCCGCGTAAACTAATTGCTAATTAACACTTGTGGTAACTTTCACCCTTTATTCGCATTGAACTCTGTTTTCAGGTGTTGCGTCGAGATACCATAAAAACATTGTTCGGAATTACCTGTTAAATCCACAATGACATGTACTAGTATCGAAATTTATCACGAAAGGTAGATAAATATGTAAAAAACATATTCGTGGAACTCTATTTCATAACTTTAAAAAATACCAAAAATCCACTTGTATGGTAGAACTTTGTAAAACTCCAATTATATTTTCCTTGTCATCTAAACGTTGATAAACAAGTTATAAATAATACTCCCGTACGTCTTTGCTATGTAATTCTTAAGCATAGTATTTTTAAAATTTTAATTATTCACAAACACGTGTTGAATGTACATACACGTATAATGTGTGTTAAATCGTCAGCTGTAAATTTTATTACCTCTTTGGAGAAACAAGTCACGTGGTTACGGTATCATTAACTATAAATAAACTAATAGTTCAAACGTTTAGGTGGTATAAAAAAGCATGGTGCAAGTGAAAGAAATATCTAAATATTAGCACACATTTGAAATATTTGCAAAACGTTTACTTTAGAATATTATCTCTATAATACTTATATAATATTAGCTCCATGTATTTTCATAATATTTTTCTACCAGATATACAAAACATTTCGTTTCATTTTAATACAAGTATTTTTTAAATATTATCTGCCGAATACATTATAAACGTCTTAAAGATATTTACAATCAAAATCAAACGTTTTGCTCCCATAATGAAATAGCGGAAGGAAAATATTACAAAAATTTCTCGTGTCCTTTGATACCAAATGAAGTGTCCGATAATATAGTCGTGAAGTCAAAAATGTATTTTTATTGCATGTTCATAAATTAAAAAATATAATTTCTATATATGTTTATAAATTATTGAAACTAAATATGTCATTGAGATTTTCAA